CTTAACCGGATGCAGCAGCACAGCAGGCAAACACATCCTCCCCTCACCCGCAACCTCATATTCCTCGCCACCATCATTATCAACTTTATACCCCATCCAGCGTTTCCACAGATTAGGTGCAAAGCCAGCGTGATAGTACCAAGTCGTCCCTAAGAAATTGTGTTGGCGCTCATCCGAAAAGACAGACATGCGTGCGCCGCCACTCGCGCCGTTGCGGCCGTTGTTGAAAATAGCGGCGAGGTACTGTGTTGGCCATTTGCGGTCGATAAACACCGGGTGCGGGGCGTAAACGGCTTTGAGGCCGTGGTGCAGAGCGCAGGATGCGGGCCACATTTCGCTGAACATGGTGTGGCGGTGGCGCGACTGTTCGCGGTGCATAGTTTCGAGGAGACGGCGGGAGAGGCGGCCGGAGGTGTTGATGGCGGTGCGGCGAGGGGGCAGGCCGTTCTTCTTGTCGTAGCCGGTGACGTCGTCGGCGAGGATCCAGTTGGTGTGGTCGGGGTCGAAGAGGGGGTTGAAGACGATGAGGTCGGCGGGTTCGCCAACGCCCCACTCGTATTTGTCTTCTGTGATGGTTGTGTTTGGTTTTACGTTGTCGTCGATTTCGATGTCGGGGTAGTCTTGGGGGGGCTCGGGACCCCAGACTGGCTTCTCGGGCTTCTGCATTTCGGCGAGAGGGACGTGTGGGTTGGGTGGGAGATGCGAGGACCATTTGTTCGCTTGGTTGTTGGTGCCGTGCTGGGTCTGCCAGTGTACCATCTGCTTGAACTCTTCCCAGGTGCCGTGGACTGATGGGACGTAGAACCGGGCGTCGCGCTCCCACAGTCCTTTGCGCGGCTGGGCGGTCGTCCATTTGGAGACTTGTTCGAAGAGGTGGTAGTGGTGGCCAGTATACCGTACGTCCATCTCCCAGTGCCAGAAGAAGTCGAACTCGGGGTGCTGGTGTGCAAAGTACGTGACTGGCATGAAGGTGGAGCGATAGACGCCGTGTACAGGTAGCCCGCGGTAATTGGACTCCTCCAGACCCCCATAGATCAAGCCCATCTGACGTTCCGACCAGAGCGTGCCCATACCGGCGAACTCAGCTGGTAGCGCGTTCTTGAGGACTTCCTGGTGGATCGCCTCGTCGGCCCAGATCTGCTTGTTGTCGTCGTGGACTTGGATCAAGAAGTGGACTTCGTATTCGCCGCCGGACGCGAGGCTCAACTCGGAGACGAGTGCACGCAGGTACATGATGTCTTCGTCGTCGTAGTTATAGTCGTCCCATGTTCGGACGAGGACTGCGGTCCTGGGGAGGAGCGTGTTGTGCGCCGCCTTCGGTTGTAGCACGGTGCCGTTTGTGGGAGCGTCGTCAGCATCGCGTTTCTGCATAGTGAATGATTCTGCCCGGGACTTGGGTTGCTTCTGAAAGCGGCCCTTGTTCTTCTCCAGGCAGCGGTCGATTGCCTCCGCCCAGCTGACGTCGCGGAAGTCAACCTCGGCGTCCACCTTCCACACGTCCTCGATGCCTTCGCGGTCGCCCTCCATGCCAGCGCCCGTTCCACCGCGCCGCTTGCTGTAGCCGAGGCCATACGGACCGAGCCGTCCGAAGCGCTCAAAACAGACATCGTCCCTCAGACCCAGTGTCTCGTAGCTTCCAATGACGTTATCCGGCATACCCTGGGGTACGCCCTTGTATGCCCGCAGCCCTGGCACCTTGATGGTGTCGTTCGCGTCGAGATAGCACGTCTCGACCGGCCCGTATGTGTCCACGTAGTTGACGCCGCTGTAGTCTGGGTACGGGTCGAACGGTATTGATTCGGCAATGTGTGCGCCCTGCGACTGTCGCTTATCGACGTCGCTCTTGGGCTCCTCGGCGGGCAGCTCAGGGTCAATGTCCTGCTTGGTGGGGTATTCGGGCACGTTCTTCTCCCGGCTCACCAGCGACCGCACGCCGCCGTGGTACCGCTTCAGGAACGGGAAGCTCTCCCAGACGTTGGGCGGCGGCGGCGGCTTATTTAGCCCGAGCTCTGCATTCCGTATCGACGCCCAGCTGCTGCTGAAGAGGAAGTACATGAAGAAGAGCAGCGTAATCGCCACGGCTAGCCCAAAGTATCGTGTGCATGCCCGCGGATTCCTATAGCTGTATGCGCTGACGGTGGCTTTCGAAGGGGCTCTCCGGTGGGATTTGGAGGACCGTCGCAGCGGTCTCGATTCGATGTTGTTCGGGTTCGGGTCGTATGCGCCTGACGACTCCCGGGATGAGGATGGGCTCGTGGTGCCCGAGGACATGTAGGCCTCGTAGTCGTCGCTTTGGTAGCCCTTCTCGTGGACTTCGCCGTCCTCGACATCGCGCTCGTGGGTCGCCGCCTGGTTGTACGACTTGGCTTTCCGCTTGCCCACGGATAGCGGACGGAAGCCTAGCATCTCGATCGGGGACTGGTGTGACGGTGACTATCGCATGTGCGGTGAGGTGACGGCGTTGCGTGAGGTCGGTGCGAGGGAGGCAGCTGGCCAATGAGGTCGTTACGTAAGGACGCAAGAGGTGAATTGGATATATACGTGTCGGAAAAGCGTATCAGTCGTATCAATGCGTAGCGGTGCAGTTGGCGGTGCTGGTGCTGGTGGTGCTAGTATACAACGTTGCAGCCCGCCCAGGGTGCACGCTCGGAAATCGGAAAGATTGCCGCGCGCACTAAACATGGCGTTGGCGGAACAACCGCTGCTCACCACGGCTACACAGCGCTACACCTCGAACGCCGTCCAGCATCGCCTATCGCATAGGGTTGAATGAGCTCTCATGTGCTTAGTTCATTCAAAATGATTAAGATGCGCATGATGCGACGTCCTATACAACGACTTCAAGCCTCTTCTCCGCGCTCAAATGCTAATGCATTACACTATCATGACTCCCGCATGCTCACCTTACAAGGAAACCCATCCACCGGATGCGCAGCCCCCTGCGGCACCTGATACGCCCTCTCGCCAAACACCTCTCTAATCCCCTTTGACGGATTCCGGCGATCCCACTCCTCGTACATATCCTTCACATCAAACTCCCTCACCGTCATAGCCAGCGTAATCTTGATATCCAGCATCGCCAGCGTTTGGCCAACGCAATTCCTCGGCCCAAATTCAAAAGGCCGCCATCCTCCCTTTGGCGGATACAAAGCATGGCCAGGCTCGACGAGCCAGCGTTCGGGTAAAAAGGCGTGAGGCTCGGGCCAGTAGTTTGGGTTACGCTGGATTGCGCCGTGGACGACCCAGATGTTGATGTCTTGGGTGGGGTATTTGTTTCCGTTTTTGTCGCGGAGAAAGACGCCTGGGAGACCGCCTCGCATGCCTGAGGCGGGTGGGAAGAGGCGGAGTGTTTCCTTGACTACCGCGTTCATGTAAGGCAGCTTGTTGATTTGCTCTGGATGCTTCTTGAGCACACCGGCGGCTGTGTCGTTGCCTGCGCCAAAGACTTCGTCGAGCTCTGCGCGAGCTTTAGCCAGAGCTTCTGGGTGCTTGGACAGCATGTAGAGACTGTATACGATGGTAGCGGCAGTGGAATCATGTCCAGCGAACAGGAACAGCCGGATCTGAACGGTCGCCCACCGCTTGAATTCAGGGTCGAGCTTGGCCGCTCCTTTCCGCTCGCCCATGTACGCGGCTATCGTGATATCCATGACAGACTTGGCGCGGGTGGACGGCTTGTTGCTACGCCAATCTTCATATCGCTTGTCGAGCTCCGTGCTGATGTAGCGATCCATCGTTTTGCCGTTTCGCCATTCGATCCACGGACGGTACGGGTTCCAGCGCTTAAACGGATTCATCTCTTGATCCCGGCAGTTCCATTCTATGGAGCTACGCATCGCTGCTGCGAGGGCGTTGTGGCTGGTCATGGAGTGCAGACGTGCGTTGCTAGTTGTGTTAGTACGTGAGACCCACGTGATGATCTGTTGGTATGCTTACATGGTAATGACGCCGATGAGATCCATCATATAATCACACGTCAATCGATCCAAAGAAAACGTATCCCCCTTCTTCGCATGCTCTCGCAGCAATTCCACATAGACTTCAGCTTCCTCAATGATATGCGGCGTACTCTCCATCATAACCCTATCACTAAACCCCGGGTTAAACAGCGCCCTCGACCTCTTCCACTCCGCGCCATTCATATCGAAAAGATTCGCGCCTCCCGCGAACGGCGCAAAGAATGGAATCAGAATGGGCGGCTTAGTCAGATCGTGTTCCTGACATGCCTGCATCGCCATCTCGGGCGACGTGACGATCATTAGCGGACTAGTGAACGGCCAGAGATCGACGTAGAAGCAGTTGTCGGAGTCTGGGAAGTCGTTTGCGAGCAGAGTAAAAGCATCGGATTGCTGCGAGCCTTCGGGAAATTGCTTGAGCAGGTCTGGTAATACTTTGAGATTGCCGAAAGCGAAGTCCCATGCTGGAACTGGCTTTGGGGAGGGGAATGTTAGCTCGTGGGTTGTGGTTTGTTTGGGGAAGACGGCGTACCATGCCCTGCTTTTTGAGCCTGTAGAAGATCATGCGCATCTTCACCAACTTGAACATGAAAACAGCAATGGCGGCAGTCGCTGCAGATAGCGCGACTTGCCATGCTGCGCGCTTCAAGTCTATTGAATCCATTGTACGCTGCTTCTGAGACGACGTCGTGTCCCTGCGGCACACTTCGGGGCGTAAAAGTCGTAAGCTTGTCGCTACGTCGCTAGCAATCACCACGGGGCGTAGACATCTTAAATTCGCACAAGAACAAAGAGGATAGGGGTATATTGATGTCACGTTTCGCAACGGCCTGGCAATCGCTTTTGTAGCCCGTCGCAATCGTAGCCATATCGGTGGTCGCGCGGTGCTACTTGGCTAGCGCTCACCGCGCTGAAGCGAAAACCAACGGGGCGTAGCGGCACAGGCTGCCACCGGCTATTCCTTGCAACCAACAACAACGCTCCGCATCCCTCGTCGGGTGCCTTGCAGACGAGGCCACCAGCCCTACGAAAAAAAACTCCTCGCTAATGCCTGTCTATGCTTGATTTCACTTCCGCCCATTTCTTCACCACCTCCGCCTTCTCCGCATCGCTCGCACCGCGGAACGCGACCGCAGATCGGCGCAGCTGGATAAAGAAAATCTCCGCCTGCAGCGCAGTGAGATGTCGCGCCAAGAGGCCCCTCTCGACGCCTTTCAAGAAGTATCCTGGTAGGCCAAATACCGCTGACAAGTGTTAGATAAGCGGATAAGCGGGATATTCGAAACCCGAACTTACCGGCTCCCAAGTGGCAGTATAACCCTCCAAGACTTCGCCCAATTCCTTTGCCAAAGCCCATGGCGCCTTCTTGCTTCGCGCCGAGATAGGGGTGTCGAACGATGCCTACGAGTGCGTCGCTGAGGCCGAGCACGAATTCTTTGCCGGCGAGTTTGCAGCCGCTGCCAAAACCGGTGATTTCGTCTCGTTGTCGCGCGGGGTCGTTGTGAATTGCGTATGAGGGTAGGTTCCGGAAGCCGTTTGCGATGTTGTAGAAGAAGGCGACTGGGGTTTTGGCTCCTGTGGCTGCAAGATCACCAACGTAATGTGCGGTGGCGCTTGTGATCTGATATCCACGGCCGCCTCTTGCTCGCCTCGCAGCGATCTTCTCGCGAAGAGCTGATATCCCCGGGCGGTTCTGCGGCTTCTCGAAATTGTGCGTGTAGTCGTCATCGCATGACTTCGCTGCCATTCTGTACGCCAGGTGATGGAAGTGTTTGGACGTAATGCCTTTTTCCAGGTCAGGCTCATCGACGGTCGGCACTCTTGTCAGGGCTTCTGCGTCGGAGTCTGTCTCACGTGGTCTCTTCTTCAGCCGCTGCGAGAACTCAGCAGTATCTGTGCCTAAAGAAGCCATGAGTCCTCCGAAAGCAGCGACAACACCTGTCAAAGGTCCTTCAGCGCCTTCATGGGTATAGTAATGCCGATGTTGCAGCAAACGCAGATGCTTCAGATCTAACAGTCTTTCTTGGACAAGCACGGAGGCTGCGAAACCACTCAGATGTGCGCCAGTCTCTTTGTCACGCCATACAGCGAGGCGATCCGGACAGATATGGCATCGCATTCCATCGATGCCCAGCTTTTGCTGAAAGTCGCGTACAGTATCTCCGGCACCATCTTCCTCCGCAATACTCTCGGCCATCTTCTGAACAGCGATCTTGACCGAGTCTTGGAGCGCAAAGGTAATGCTTGTCGCAAGGCTCTCGGCAGTCATCTGCTTGAACGGGACGGGCATTGGACCAGCTCCAGCCTTTGCGATCATCTATCGTATTGTTAGGTCGGCTCAGTCGTGTCTCAACGCTGACTTACCTGTCCCCAGAAGGGTTGGTCACCGAAGAAGGGCACAACAACCGTAGGCCTACCCAAGGCAATACTAGCAGCCGTTGTACCCGCACCTCCGTGATGGACCACACACGAAACCCGTTGGAAGAGCCAATCGTGCGGACAATTGCCAATGAGATACACATCATCCGGCACATCACCCGCACCCACGCCGCCCCAGCCTTTGGAGACTATGGCTCTGACTTTCGCCAGCTTCACGGCGTCAAAGATGAGCTTGGTGAGAGCCACTGGGTCATCCACCACTATGCTGCCAAAACCAATGTACACCGGAGGCGGACCCTTGGCAAGGAACTCAGCCAAGTCGTCCGGCGGCGTGTAATTCGACCCAGCATCCAAGAACGAGAACCCGGTAATGCTGATGTGTGAGTCCCAGTCAGCTGGCCGCGGGATTAAAGCCTGTGACCATAGGTAGCTATATGGGACGCGAAGCCTCGAAAGCAAGAGATGACCCCAGAGCGGGCTAATAGCGTCTAAGTGCAAGGTCTGCGTCCTAAACTTGTTGATGACATCGCCTAGACCCTGCCAGGTGAGCAGCTCCATGATGCCGAAGCTGAAGTAGTTCGCGACCGATCTCTCCACTTCGCCATACTCCATGGCCGCCAGCGGGTGATGGAAAGCCTTTGTTGGCGACCACGGCATGGTGAAGACCATGTGCAGCGGGATGCCAAGCTTCTCTGCGCAGTGGATGTGGCCCATGGACGGCGGGTTCGCAATGATGCAATCTGCGATGAACAGATCCTCAGGCGCGTCTACGTCCAATGCTGAGACTCTCTCGCTCATGCCATCACCCGCCTCGATGCAACTTCTCCAGGTCCCCTCCATCATCTCGGCCATCTCTTTTCGTCGCTTGCCAATGTCACCGGCTTTGATGGACTGCATGTTTGGAATCAGCCCTGGGTTCTTCACCATGTAGGCCATGAGAGCTTCGGGGTCGCCTCCGATGGAAAAGAAATCCACTCCATTGCTTTCCACAAAGTCCTTGAAGGCGGGATGCGTGCAGATGCGCACTCGGTGGTGATGTGGCGCAGCTTGCAACAGCTTCGCAATCGGAATGAAAGGCTGCACATCGCCGCGAGACCCGCAGATATGTATCGCGATGTTCAGTCGCGGTGCGCTGATGCTGCTCGTCTTGTCGCTGATGAACTCATCCACCAGAGTCGTACTGCCTCTTCGCGGTTTTGCGTATCCCGGCGGTCGGCATGCCGCGGAATCTTTCTGGAGCTTGTCGAACCAGTATTTCAGATGCGTCGTGTTCCTGTGGAATTGTATGGCGACCTGGCCGAACGTGTTGACTCTTCCGGTACTTTGCGCTTTCCCGTCATGGTACTCGCCGCGCTTCTGTTTGGAGTTGAAGTTGAGAGGCATTGCGATACCGGCTGCACGCGGAAGCTACATCGGGCTCCCGATGGATTATAGGAACACAGCGGAAGATCAGACGAATGACGAGCATCAACATCCTTCAATCGTTGGTCTTGGTACGAGTAATCAGTCTTTCCGGGTTGCTTCTAGCGCACGCTTACACCTCTTACTTGATCGGCTCGCAATCTGCAGGCCGCGGATCTTCTACGGCGAAGCGGGCCAATCCACGGCGTGTTGCCCATGCCGCGCCGCCGATCATCCGCGCCCAACGAACTTTCGCACGAACAGATTGTGCTCGGCCGTGTCTATCTCGATAGTCTGGACCGGAATCTCAGGACTTCGCGTGGCGCCGCCATGACCGTCTGTGTTGTTGCGCCTATCACAGTTGGACCGAGGGCCGCATACATAGGCGTCACCGTCTCTACTCCCGAGTAGCTCAACGGCGAGACACCGAGCGCAGGTTCAGTGACATGTGAAGCAAAAGCACCCACTCCATCATAATCCTCGACCTGGACGTCCGAATTTGCTTTCGCATACGACGACGGCTGCGCATACACATCCAGCCATGGCCGACGATCAAGAGAAGGGCATCATTGGGCGGGCGCGCGGGATGTCGCTGTCGTTGCTGCACACGACACCGCAGCTGGGCATGTGGCAGGCCACGGCGACGGCAATGGCTCAAGCGCCCAACTTGACAGAGTTGCGAGAGCCAGAGTCTGGAGGGTCAAACATCACGTTCGATGCGCATGGCCATGCCACTCGAGTAGCGGTTCCAGACGAAGACGGAGAGCTCACCTTGGTTAAATCCCAGACTAGGATCCTTGACCAGCCAGCGGCAGACGCGATTGTACCGGGAGAAGTGGACGAGAAGACTGGGAAGAGGTCGCGTAGGCCTCATGGACATGGACTTCACCGCAGACGGACGTTGAAGGAGAAGCACGCGTCTCCCGATAAGGAACCGTGGGGTCCTACCATCAAGCACGGTCTAAAAGCCTTCTGGGTCTTCTTCCTCACCCCCTCCGGTTTCCTAATCACCATCTACGGACTCAACATCGTCGTACGTACGCGCTCGCCCCATCAATCCCTCTGCTTACTAACGAACCCCAGGCCTGGGGCGCTATGCTCTTCTTCCTGCTCCTCAACGCCGCGCCCGCCATGTGCCACCCCAGCTGCAACGACGACTACTCGTCCCGCAAAATCTGGCTCGAAATCGACAGCCAGATCCTCAACGCCCTCTTCTGCGTCACGGGCTTCGGCCTCGCACCCTGGCGCTTCCGCGACTTCTACTGGTCCATCCGCGCTGTCCACTTCCACGACTCAAACGCCATGCGCCGGCTTTGGAACCAGAATAAAGCTTGGTTCCGGCCGCCGGCGTGGTTTGCGGAGCACGAGGGGTGGAGGGGCGAGGAGGAGTTGATGCCGCAGACTTTTACGGGGGAGAGGGCGCCGCCGACTAGTATGTGGAAACTGGCTTTTACGGTGGATATGATGGTTTTGAATACGCTGTTGCAGGCTGTGCTTTGTTTCTTCATGTGGCATTATGATCGGTTGGACAGGCCAACGTGGGCGACGGGCACGTTTATTGCGCTGGGGTGTGGGGTTGCGATGTTTGCGGGGATTATGTCCTGGTGGGAGGGGAGGAAGGTTAAGAAGATTGAGGGGCCCGAGATTAAGGTTGAGACGAAAGCTGCGGATGTGGAGAGTGGGTAGGGCGAGAGATTCGCTTGTCTGCGCCAATTCGGTCATTATATGTGTTCACTGCAGTGCATCTTCCTTGCATGTTCTGCTTGTGGATGTGACATGGATTTTGGAAGTCGCGAGTTGCTTGCTCCGCGCCACCGCACGCCGCCACATTTCCGCCGCATCTCCACTCCGCCTCCACATCAAGCTCATCCGTCACCGATAACATAATCAACCCTGAGTTTCTGCCTCGCTTCGATTATGCGGGTGCAGGTGATACAGCAAGGCTGAGTACTCTCTGTCACGAAGATGCTTACCGGTGCGGGGCACCTACATGCGCGCTGCATGCGACCTGTCACGCCCAATAGAGTCAACGTACATATCTCAGCCTTGGGGGCGAAGCGGCAGGAGAGCGACAAGAGGCTTTCATGATCAGGCTTAAGAGCTGTTACATGTTGCGAACAATCCCCGCAGCCTGACTGATCTCCACAACCTTTACCACCCGCACTGAGCAGTACCCGATATCTATACTTCTGACGCTGGTTCTGGTACCGGAAACAGAGCTGTATCGCTATGGCAGAGGTCATCGGTCTGGTAGCATCTCTCATCACCCTGGCAGGTGCGAGTGCGCAGCTAGCCAGGACGCTGCTCGACGTCGCTAATGTTATCAAATCCGCAGAGTACGAAGCTAGGCTCATTGCTGCAGACATCAATGTATTCTCAAGCTCTCTCACACAGTTGAGTATGGTTGTGGACACCCCACACATCAAGACGGAAAAGCTTCGCGAAATTACTGTCGTCTTGATCGCTGCATGCAAAACACTCATAGAGGATTTAAAGATGCTCATCGGAGAGCCGGTTCAGCAGGACCCTGCAAGACGCGCTTTCATCATATCGCTAATACAATTCCGTTTCAGATGGATAAAAGTCGGACCCAAGGTCATGTTCGTCAAGAGCTTGGTGGATTCGTTCAAGACTACTATCTTAGTGCTTGTCTCCACGATGAACTTAGCCGTTGTGCTGGAGAGAAATGCCCCCGATTCTATAAGGTAAGTTGGAAAGATCGCTGCCGAAGGATGTCGGTTAACTTAGTTGTAGCGAGAGTCTGACAATGCAGGTTGAGAGCAACCTGAAGTTTGCGGAAGACGCTACAGAGTGTCTGCAATATCACACAACTGTCCAGCAAGACGAGGTTTCATCTTTCACGCCCACTGTCGAATCCAGCGCTACGACAGAGGTTGAAGACGCAGCGCAAGGCGCTGGGGGAGAGCTCATCGTGCCTAGGTTGCGGTCTCTTGACGAGCGCAGCCTAGCAGTACACGACACAGCACTCCTGAACAACCCAGACTTTGAGCATGATGGTTCCGCTCTCCAGATCTTCCGCGACTGTACGCAAGCAATCGAAATGCAGCAGATGTCTAGGGCGTTAGCAAAAGAGGTGCTGGATCAACCTAGCCGAAAAGCGGCATGGAACTGGAATGCCTTCGAGAGTTCTTCTGTACACGAGCGCGCAGACTCAGCTAATGACGTCGTTACCCCCGTAAGCCACTCCGAGCTCTCCAGTTCTCCAGAGCCTCGCCTAGCAACAGAAGAGTACCGCAATTCGCCCCATTCGACCCGACGGCCACGCATGAGAGAGAGATCTCTTTCACCAGGCCGGAACACGTTCCTTCCACCAGACCGATACAAATCTCTTCCCCCAGGTCGAGACAGATCTCTTCCACATCGTCGAGAAAGAATGCACTATACTGCAAGCGGAGGTGAATCGTCTACGTCTGAGACTGGCGTGTATGCAGAAACATCTTCTGAGATGGAAACCCACAGTTCGCTACGCCACGATGTGCCACGACAACGCAGGGCTGCAACCGAAGGACCAACTCTCCCTAAGCGCGGATCTGGACCAACAGCGAGGAAAGCCGACCGCTCGACAGTTAACACAGGATCTTACCGGCAGAAATACTCTAGGTATAAAGACGAAGAGACGGCGCGTTACAATGATCAACAGGAAAGCGATCCGCGTCGTCGTAGCTATGAAGTTGATAGACTAGCAAATCTCAAGGAATTGATTCTAGCTCAGAAAGACGAGCAGATTAGGAGGGAAACTGCTGCGGATGCGAGAAGCGGTGCAGAGCAACACGTAGCCGATATGGAAGCTGCAAGAATAGATGAGGAGAAGAGAGCAGCGGTCGAGAAAGCAAAACAGTTGTTGGAGGCTACGCAAAGAGCAAGAGAGCCGGCTGAACAGAAGGCAGCAGAGAAGCGGGAGGAATTAAAAGCCGCCCTTACGAAAACCCTACAACAAGATTTGAAAGAAACGGCGCGAGAATTAGAGGAAGCCAGAGCAATTGCACAAGAGAAGATGAATGTGCCACTCATCTTCCACGATGCCGTCGGTCGCAAGTTCGAATGTCCATGGCGTTTGTGCAGTACTTGGGAGGTAGTGGTTCGCCAATTTGCTCAGAGTTCTCACACTAATTGCCTTAGGGAATCCGGGATTTCATCGCGAATATTAGCTCCGGGGTGGCAGTGCTCTCCCAGCTAGTCGAGAACGGAGAGTTTGATCTGGTCAAAGATGATATCGTCATTCCACCGTATTTGTGGGATAGCATGGTTGTTCCTGGGTCAACGGTGACCATGCGCGCCAGGAACTTGGTCCCGCCTCCAATTGACAAGAAAGCTCCATGGTTTCGCAGGTTGATAAGCAAGGGGGCTGGCTAGGATGAGGTAGAGGTCTTATGATATTTGCGACTATCGAAACGGGCGCTGGCAAAACCACTCTCGCATCCAGGCTACTGCTAACGCGTCTCCTCCAGCCCATGATACACTACTGCGTGCATCCAAGCTATCCCGTCCTCCGCTGTGCCGTCGCCGTCGCTCTCGCCATCACCATCAACGCTTAACGAAGAATACGCCTGCCTACGTCACAATGCTGCTATCCTACCGACATGTGTCGATTGCGCTCTTACAAAGCAGAAAATATGGCCAATTTACCGCCGTCATCAATGGCCGGCGTATCATACCTGCAATGTTTTCTCTTCCTGAGCGCATCTGCTTGTGTCGCTTTTTGAGGTTGCGCCAGCATGAAATGCCCCATTTTCCCCTACGTTTCCGCCGTACTGTCAGGTAAAGTAAACCGTTCATCGATCGTGATCTCCTAGCCTACCAGCTCCAGATCTCTCAACACCAGCTCCTCGGAGGCTCTACTAGCCATGGAGTGAGGCGTACATACAGGAACCAAATCCTTGAGGTGAAAAGATTTTGTGTCCGTCATGTTTGTCATCCGACTCACCTGCAGCGCCTTCTTCTCTTCCCCTTTCTTCGCCATAGCCAGCAATTCCAGAATCAACGCCAGTATGCCATCGTTGGCCATACGAATAGATGCTTCGTGTCCCACATCAAGCAATACGTGGCGTGCCTGGAGGATGTTCGGAAAAGCGTACGCCAACTCATACAACTTGCGCCTTGGAACAATATGCGCGCACATATGATAGTAGTGTACCTCAGCCCGCGGAGACCGTACGAACCGGGTATAGTGATAATACTGCTCCGTAGACTCCGAGAAGATCTACTGGTTCGTCCATATCCACGAGTACTCTTGTGCGTGTCTGAGTCCCTTGCAGGGGCCTCCGTTCACTGGTGGGAGAAGATCGCATGCCGACATGAGACTAGCCCTGTATGTACCAGTAGATGAATACTCAGCTGTCATGACTGGGCCCCAGGGGATATTATCGTGTTCGGCGAAGTTCCATGTCAGCTCCTGGTAGAAGGATATCATCGTGCCGCTCCAGGCGTGGTGGTAAATCAGGTCGCGGATCTCTCTGGGAAGTCGGAAAAACCGGGTGAGAAGCTGCGTGTGGTGCTTTCTGGCTCTTTGTTTTGATCTTGCTGCCTTGCGCAGTTCGTATGGAAGTAAGGCCTCGATGAGGGATGGCCGTTCCTCTTCGACTCGTTTGCTCAGATCAGCCGCGCGGTAATGTGCTGCGTATGCCTTTTCCCTCGCGCGTGCAAGCAATTGGTCGAGATGAGCTATCCGGTTCCTTATCGCTCTTCTCTCAAACTTCTCGAAGCGTCGTGCGGCTTTACGCTGCTCTTGTGTGGGCGTCTGGTCGGCGACTAGCACCTCTTGTTCATCGCTCTGTTGTTCCAGCTCATGTTCGTCCATCGTAGCGAGTGTTGTCAGGAGAGATAATAGATGCAAAGGACGAATATCTTGGGTGCAAAGCTTTTCGAGTAGATGGATGACTGTAACGTTCGCTACCAAACATGCGACACCTATAGCTGTTCCGTGGTACACCCATGACCCACAGGTAAGACGAGCCAACCATAAGTCTGATGATTGTGATCTCTCTCAATCGAGGAGTAAGGTTGCGAATAGAATGATGATATATTGCGGGAGTTGTGAGTGGCTCATTGCTTACTCTGCGTCTTCGCAGTACCAGAGGATGCAGTGAATGACAGAGAGCCAACCATGACTAGCATCGCCAAATACGACGAACGAGCATAAGACGGGAAAGGAAAGAGACTGCACAGAGGTTGAAACCCAAGGAAGGAAATCCTCTTGTACTCCGGCCTACTGTCATTCCCCTACCTCTCCTCAAAAAGCAGATCTTCCACCAGAGTGGAATCATGAGACCAGTACCAGTCCAGCTTACCGCGCACATTCCACTTGTCTCCACGCTTCCTTTCAGAAGGTTCATTCAGTCTAAGTTGCAGCTTCGAGTACATCATATACGGCTGGCAGCGATCCGAAGCGCCCTCTCGCGAGAGATGAAGAGTAAGCCACTTGAAAGCGCCTTGCCCCGACCCCAAAAGACGATCTGCAATACCTTTCGCAGATGCGACAGTACTCTCTTTGTTAAGCTCGGGGTGGGGGATGTTGCCCCAGATATCCTGTACGAGCTTTTCGCTGTAGTCGTTTGCTTCGTGGGGAATGTGCAGCCAGAGATCAAGCTGCGTAAGATTCATCCCTGATAGAGCGATGAGATGTTGCGGGTCGATCTAATGGTGCGGTCAGCGCAACTATGATCTGGGGCCGGGTGAGCGTGGCTTACGTTGCGTTCGCAGGGTGCGTCCCAGCCTAGATGCTTGAGCCTAGGGATCGTCCGTGCGATGTCCTTCAAACGGCTGAGTGGCATGACAACCTTGTGGCAGTATGCTTCGAATGTCGGCCCAAGGATCAGTGTCTCGAGTGTATCCTTGTGCTGTTTAATAGCGGGCCAAAGATCGTCTATACCCGCTTGCGCTCGTGACAGATCGAGATGTTCAAGTGCGTCAATCGACTCGATGAACCGCTTCGCAGGCGATTTGTCACCCTCCCACATCCCAAAACTCAGCACTTTGAGCTGAGGACAAAGCCCCGTGAAGCAAGAAAAGAAGTTTTCGGGATGTTCGCCGCCGAAGTCAAGCTTACGCAGTCGGGAACAGTCGATAGCACCGCGAAACATGCGACAGTAGCCGGGATCCCAGAGACACGCCGTCTGGCCATGATATCTCAAAGTCTGAAGAGTCATCTCCTCGAGAAGAGGTAGGCGCATACCGGTGGTGAGATCGAGACGCGGTATCTTCGCCGGCTCCGTATCGGGTGTGAAAAGGTTATGACCGTCTTGCAAAACTTGTAGCCGAAGAGATCTAATGTTCCCGCCAGTCGCCAGTGCTTGGGAGAGTCGGGGCCACTCGGATCGGCAAGGGTGCTCGGGAGCGAAGCCCTGCATGTATACCTCGTAGGTCAAGCTAACAAGAAGCGGAGATGACAGGAGCTTCATGTCCATCTGACGATGTGCAACACTCTTTGCCGTCTTCCGGTCGACGACAATAACGCGTATCTCAGGCTTCGGCCACATCGCGTGGATCATGTCGTATACTGCCGGAGGTATGTGCGTGGAGGTCTCCCAACTACGAGAGTCAGTATCAGTATCTTGAACCGGTTGAAGGAACATACTTGAGTGATCGAAGATTCCTGTGCTGTAGAGTCTTGTTGAGTATCGTAATCAGGTCTGCAGAGGGTACCTCGTCTTTGACGGTGATACTGCGGATATGCTTCGTGAGGTCACCGTGCTCATTCTTGGAGAGCTTCTCCACGAGTGCCTGGTATGCCGTTGACTCTCCATTCAGGATGATGTTGCGATATATGTAAGGCAATGCCGCATCGTGCAAGACTTCGGAAGATTGTGCCACATTCAGTAGGTCTGCGGGTGATGTGTCCACAATATCGGAGAGAATGAGGTGGTGAATGTCATCGGGAACGACGTTTAGGTTGGCTTTCTGACTCGCAACGCCCTGCGACCAAGCGGAAGCGGCGGCATTAGCGATGGGAGTGATGCGAAGTGACATTGTCTCCGTGTTTGAATGATAAAAAGGAGGCGTGATCAAACGACTATGACGATCTTCGATCTGACTGGAGATGCAAGACATCTTTATACCTTAGTCTTCCCCAGGCAGAACTGTGAAGTAGGCGCAGCAAACGACGCGGTGCCAACAGGACCGAAAGCCATCACGACGACACGAGATTCTGAGTCTGCCTGAGGCAACTCCACATTGGGCGGTGAGGTGAACATCTCGTGGCCTGTTCCAGAATCAAGACCCTAACATAGATGATCGGAAGCATGATCAAAGGCTGTCGTTGAAGTGGACGAGGAGGTGCCTCGTGTCGTTTCCATTAGGCTGAACCGCCCAACGTTCACCGCCACGACTGCGCCACGACTGCGCCACAACCCCCGATCCCTTCGCGGCGCCGAGTAGTCATGTCTTGACCTGTCCCACGCGAAGATATCGGAGGGTAGCTGGATTGCTCCGTGCTTGTGGTACCCCGAGTTTATTGTGTGAAGCTTGGATGAGGATGACGACGGCGCGCCAGTCAACGCGGGTTGAGTCGGGCTCTAGCCCATCACAGTGGTCGTCGGTTTTTTTGCTGTCATGGGCATCAATAAAGAGCGCAAAGGTTTCCGTGAACCAAAGATCTTCACCCACCATTTGTCAGCCTTCATTAAGATAGCATAACTCCTCGTCATGCAACGCGCAGTTGTCGCAGCAGAATCGGGTGAGGTGGAATTTCCTGCAGAACTTCTAGATGAAATGCAGGATCGGTTCTTGGTATTCTCCAGCCGTTCACCTATGTACTGGGCCTTGGAACTTCGCGTTTTTGGCCGAAAGATATGGGATCAGATCACGTCCCTTGGCTACGTCCATTGGTTAGATAACGGCCAGCGGCTATCATACAAAAGTCTAGAGCTGGACATGCAGGCACTGCGATCGTTCATTCAAGACCAAGTGGACCTGTGTTAGTTTCAATTGGAACAGCTTCTCCTTATCCAGCCAGAGGAAGCCAGGGACCGGGTCATCCCTGGAATAGATCTGTCCGAATTACGGGATGATCCGACAAATCAAGAAGCAGGTTGGAGCTTTCGGAAAGACTAGCGAAACAGTCTGCGTACAGGATAATGGGAACGAGGTTTGTCAAGGGTATATGGGCGGCAAGTGCTTCGAAACCATGACTAACACAGGTCCTTCAAAACAACCTGGGGAGTTATTGAGGATGTAGCAACACTGAAAGTTGAGCAAATAGGGAGAAAAAGAGAAAAATGTCCTTTTGCGATGCAACACTTACGTTATTTTTAAGACGTGTCAAACATTTCTTAGTCCTAACTACCAAGAGTCCTTTCACCGGCGATACTTGAGTATCATTGCAGTTCTCCAGAATTCAAAACAAAAGTGGGATGTGTACATGTTGAGTGAGTGAATTGGATAGCTAATACATGATAGTGAGCGACCGAAACAGGACGCGTACATTCTAAACGAGTGAACAATAGGACTGGTACATGATAATGAGCGACAGATACAACTGAAACATAACAGCTGCGGACTTGATTCAGTTCAGCTTGACTTCCTCGATGTTCATACCGTCGGTAGTGTTGTATTGGATCTCCGATAGAGTGAAAGAGCCGTCAGTGCGAGTAGCTACGAGCCAAACACGTTCAGTAAGAAATACTGAACAGGTGTAGGGCGGAACGTCGTATTGTCGTCTGTCGGTGAACTCTTCGTATTCGTTATACGAAGAGGATTGTGTCGAGGTGAACTGATAGTTGAGACTGACGTCTATGCCTCCACCCAAAGCCTTGATACCAAAGGACGAAGTGATCTCTACACCAGCTGAGTGCACCATCTCTTGTGACTGTGTCGTAGAGATACCTTTCTTGATTGTCTTCTCGTCAATGATAGTACCTCCACCGTTATTGGAGTGTCGTTTTTCAACCAACCATGCAGTACGCCTCCCAAGCTTGCAAAACGGATCAGATATCATGCCCAAGCTCGTGACATGTGTTGGTGGAAAAAAGGCCGTGAAAGGTAATTCAACCTCACACTGTTGCAGTTGACTGAACAGGTCTCCTTCGCGAGGGATTGTGTCTTTGGTGAATGTTGGCGGTCTTGCATTGAAAGATTTGAAATCCTTTGGACAAGGAAGTACCAGAACCCTGGCAAGGTCCGAGGAAGGCTGTTGATATGCTTTGATAGCCCTGTGGCAATCGGAAAGGACTGTAATCTTCTCGGATCCGCCTATGCTAACCTGGGGTGGGATAATCGACCACACTGAACAGTCGTGATTACCTGCGGATTTTTTGTCGTCCCAGAGGCTGTTCGGGTTGTAGTTCGATTGCATAGTCAAGTCCGATCGAACACACCATATCGCATTGGTTGATGGACGTTCGTAGCTGCTTGTCCAGACGTCCCCCAGCGAGACATACCCAGTAGGCGCAACAGGTCGCCAGACTGTGCCATCATACTTGCCGCCGCCGCCCCGATCGTCCCACACCCAGTCGTAACTAGTAGGGCTTGCAACAGCTGGCTTCCCAGAACTCCCAGGAACGTTTCCAACTAAGAGCGTAGCTCTCTTATCTTTCTGGTCATCCCACTTGTCTTGACCAAAAGATCCCACAGGACGCATTGCACCTTGAGAGTTCGCAAGATAGAACTCTCCATACCGGGCAGCACCTGTACCCTTCTCATTCCACTTCCATACGAGGTCCTTGGTAAGCGTGACTCTCAAGTCACCATAGTCGCGGGTTTTGTTCGTCATTCCGACTGGCGTAGTATCCAAAGTATCGAAGAAGTTCTCAAATGCTTGGAGAATCGTGTTTGAAGGCAGAGATGATTGAGTGTAGATTGGTGACTGACACTCGATGGGAAACGCCCGATGCTTTATACTTCGTTCTTGTTCTTTGAGTAAACCTGAAAGTCCGAAGATCTCACGAATATCCTTCGATATGCACCCATCTATTGCCTAGTTCCTTTTTGGAAATCGTCTGTGAGAAAACTGCAAATGGGCTCCTCTCTTCGGAGCAGCACCATGATTGGAATTGCATTGCTTTTTCTCGTGCTGCGAAGCACATGTTAGAGATGATCTAGACTAGATTGTGGAAGTAAAGTTGTGTTACACAACAGCAGCGGTGAGAAATTCTTGTGTTACACAACAGCAGCGGGGAAAAATGCGTATGCTGCTTGAAGGCACAAAAGCCGTGCTGCACTGCAACACATAAGCTGCGCGAGCCACATAGGACTAGCGCTGAAGAAATTGGGGCTTTGGTATTCGTGAAAGAACTGACTGTCACTGAACTGCACTCTGCATGTAGATAGATACATGCCTGCACTGCTTGTGCAGCACACCATCGCACGCTTCGTATCTGTCGAACATGTGTGGGATTGCAGGATCCTCAGCTTGTGCATCAAGGAGAAAAAGAAGTGCATTATTTTATATGCACCAAGTGTAATGTAGTGCCATTCATCCGTTACAAAAAAGAAGAGTAATTACAGAGTATGAATCGATAAAAATGAAGTTGTGTACACTTATATAATGCACACTACCTTCAAGTTACCTTTTATTCAGCTGAAAAGATTCGAGAAGAACTCCGTAAGATTACTAGCTGAATAATCGCTGCAAATGCTAAGGAGACTTCTGGTTGGATACGTGGGAACCCCACATATCGGCCCGTTTACACATCGTTCACCCCTCTTAGCACATATGCATATGCAGAATGTATGGGTCGGCCCTCGCCGATCGAGTGCATGTGGAGAGAACAGACAAAAGGAATATAAGAAAAGAGGGGTGCAGCTTGCTTTTTGCACCTAGATTACCAAACCTGTTAGTCTATCCGTGTTAACCATCTGGTGGATGCAAAGCCATAAAAACGAATAAAAGACTGCCGGGTGATGTAAGGGCTACGCTCAGGGAGCTATCGCACAGGTATACTAGAGTTGTATTTAATAAAGAAGAGAACTACACACTACTAGGGGGCTGAAGTTTAATTGATAATATATTAGATTAACCTTCGGCCGGGTTTAAGGGGTTTAGCCTGAGCGTTGTTCGGACGCGTACTGTTGTTACGCGCTGTGCGCTTGCGCACGTGACCGAGATAGTATCGAGGATTCACGAACTGAGCCGGTCATCTGTTATCCCTGAGCACTACTCGGCCGGATCTGTATACTTCTGTGTGCCATGCGTCGACACAGCCCTTCCATGCGTTCGTGACTCGTCCACTTTTCGTCTTGATCTTATCACAATTGTGTTACACCCAACCTGAACCTAATGAATGTTATTGTGTTGCCTGTTAATTAACGAAGAAGGTGGATCGTGATGTTAAGCATTTCTGCGACTATCTAATGCTACGTTACACGAAACGGCTCACCAAGGTTTGATCTCGATATACGCGCAGGAACACCAGATCTGCACCCGATATAGGAAGAGTGCACCAAGATATGACCTTGATGGAAGAACGAATGCACCAGATTTGCACCTGATATAAGCAACCACAACATAATAAGAAGGCTCACCGTATCTGACCACGATATGATGCACCGAAATCGACACATCGATATGAGAGAAATGAAAGGGAGACAGCGATTCAAGCCCACGGCACGTTTATGTCCGATTCGGTGGCTCCCGACACGCAGCATCCGTCGCCGTCATCATCGCGACATACTCCAATCCGCGTTCGAATTCATTTGCACGGATTCCGAAGCGTTTTCGATTCGCCGATAGCACGGCGCGATCCTCAGGGACCATGTTCTGGATGCTTTCGTAGTCTGGGCGCATGTTTTTACACCGTGCCTCAAGGGCCTTGAGCTTCTCTTTTCGCGCTTGTCGTTCTTGTTCCAGCACTTTGGCCGATGTGTTTGCGTTGATAAAGGTCTTTCCCCAGAGTCTGACGTTGGCAATGTAGTCAGTGTGTTCATTTCTGAAGGTTTGACATCGCGTCCAGAATTCTTTGCTTCGGAGTCGCTCATCTTCTTCATCCAAGCATCATCGTTATCAAGCCGACGGGGTGTATGCACAAACCGGAGCCAAGGTCATGGTAAGCCGATGCTATTCCGGTGCGTAGTAACTTTCCGAAAAGAATTTCTTCTTCGGAGGCTAGGCGAGCGAGGATGAACATCTTGTTGTGGAACCATCCAGAGTATTCCAATCCAGCGATGCGGGTGACCAGTTTACCTAGATATCCAGATTGGTCTTCATCGTAGTGGGCGGTTCGATCAATTGGTCCCGAGGAACATCGAATGTGGAGCCATGGCATGTGTGCGAGTGTTGAGGGCCTTGGTGGCGTGCAAAGCTGTTTAACAACCTTGCAGAAGCGCCTGATCTGCCACTTCCTTGCTTCGAGTCCCGGCAGATCCATCATGAGGTAGGCTCGGTGTCCCTGCTCGGTCGATTCTCTCAATGTGGGGGTGCTCTTGCTATCGATTTCTTGATCAATTTGCATCGTCAGATCAAGATCTCCAGGGTGGTCGCCGATGTAGCGGCGCATGATCGATACGATTCTCAATTCTTGTTCGGGGGTGGGCGGATTGCCATGGTTGTCAAGCAAAGCGCACGCTTACAGACAAGGCACTTTCTGTTCTGAGGTCACGACTTGTTCAGCGTCTTCCATGGGGCCTGGTGCACCATACAGTCTCGAGAAAGCGGGATCGCCATCCATGTGACGTTCAGCCAAGTCTCCATTGACAAGGCCCGAGAGGACTTCCTTGGACACACTAGCAAGGGTGCCAATCCAATGTCAGCGGCATTCGATCAATTGCGTGTCTCTGATCAAGGGATGGTGGCGTTTTAATTCGTCATGGTGAACGCGGTCAATGAGATCGACGTAACCAAGCTTAAGGGCATCTGCCATTGGTACGGATTCAAGTTATTCGCTAGATTGCGCCTTCTCAAGGTTCTCGATTTCATAGTCGTCATCGTCGTCACTGCCAATTTCAGTCTCAGTCGCTTTCGTTGTCAAGTGATTGGACGTGGCGATGGCCTGAAAGCAGTCAGTAATCGATCGCAGGAGCTATGGAATGTCCTGCGCGACTTCCTACGAGATATCGTGGAAGGTAAGAACACCGGCACTCACCTGCGAGAAGCTTCCGCAGCGCTGTCAATTCGATTAGAGATCGAGGCGTTCGTTCTTGTTACTCGCTTATTGAGCATATTTGATGCCATATGGTGGGTAGTGCAGTAATTTTGGTGTTGTGTGATTGTGGTGTCTGAGAAATGAGGTAAAGGTGAGGGACATGTTCAGTCACTTCAGACAGGAGTGGAAAGAGTCACCCAGTGCTACCTAGAACCGCATACGTCAATATGATCACACTGCAATCTCCGCAATCTCCAGCTTCTGTTTGATCGTGTTTATTCCATCAAGCCTCATGCATCTGGTCAAATGCCATCAGTGCTACCATCAGAACAAAGCGGTAGTGATACAGCGCACCATACAGTGCTCTACTTCGCCAGCGAGCGAGCGGTTCATTCATGCTTCAGCTCGCTCGCCTCTCCTCATCATCTCGGCCCATTGCCCTTCGTATCCAGACGCGCAGCCTTTTCTTTCTTGTTCCCCGAGCGCTATGCCGCGCTTCCTGCGTTAGCAGTGGCATGTCACTAGAACGCCAAACTCCATGCAGTGTGCCTTTTCATCCCATTCATGCCTCCTGTTCCCTTTGTTGCCTACCCTTGCCGCCACCTCGTCGGTCGCCGCCCTTGCCCCTGTTGTCGCCGTCCTTCTTGCCATCGCCAGCGAGAGGGTCGCCACCGCCCATGGTGAGCGCAGCGGTCGCGAGACGGTTCGAGAGGTCGATTTGTGTGCGGATGGTGTTGGCGAGGTATGATACGACGAGGACGTCTTGGATGTGTGCGTTGCTGGGATTGTTAGCATATGTCTGGAAGTGTGAGTAATTCTGACGTACAAGTCGCGCTCAATGTCGGCGGGCTCGACCTTGGGTGCCAGGCTGAGTGCGTTCATCAGGAACTGGCCCAGCGCGGACGATGGCTCGGCCTCCTCGTCCAGCACGTTGTTAACGTAGTTGGAGACGCGCTCGAGCATGTCCAGGACGTGTGTGATGGCCGTCTCCAGCGAGTCGAGGTCGGTCATGACGTCCTGCGACCGGTCCTCGCGGTCCTTGGCGGACGAGATGAGCTCGAGGCCTGACCGCTCGGCCTCGCCGTACTTGATCTCGTGGGGCACGGGGATGAAGAGGCACGAGTCGGCGGCGCGCTCGGCGGTGACGCCAATGGGGGCGGAGATGTACGTCTTGGACTCGATCTCCTGGCCGGGGACGGTGGAAACAGTCAGGTGGACGGCGGGGTGTGGCCATGTGCCGTCGCCTTGCTGGCTGTAGAAGTTCTGGATGAGGGCGGAGAAGGTGTTGAGGTCGCTGCTGGTCGCGTACCAGCCGACGAGGACTTCGCGGGGGTTGGCGCGCAGGTGCAGGGCGAGCATCTGCTTCTGGTAGTCCATGTCGACCTCGACCTGTTCAGCCGTCTCGGTGTGGGGGACGGCATAGCAGTTGCGGATCTCGATCTCGGTGCCGTCTTCGCTGCGGGTGCCGAGGAGGGTGCCGATGACGCGCTCTTGCTCGGCGGGCCGGCGGAGGGAGTGATCGAGGATGGAGAAGACGGCCTAGCAGATGGTGTCAGAGAGTAGAGCAGGCAGCCTCGACCGTGGCTTGTCGCATACCTGGGGCTGGATGGCGACGTTCAGCGGGGCAGTCGACGGCTGGGTGCCCATGGAGGCGGGGCCGAGCGGGCGCGCCAGATGCAGGAAGGAGTCGTTCTCGGCCATGGTGGCGGTGGTGATGGCGATAGGTTCTTGTTTGGTGGGCGTGGTGTTGAGGCGCTCGGAGACGTCAAATGTGGTTGGTGGGGCACGCAGCGATATTCTTCACGAAATCTGGGCAGGGTGCGTTCGCTTGCACGGACCATCTGAACTTTTTCGCGACATTCATCCCAACGCGACTATACGATTGTCACCACACCTATCTCACCTCTCTCTGTTTGTAGAAAAGGCAGTCACGCCCTAGATTCACATTCAACCGGCACTGCAGAAACATCCAAGCCCTTCGAAATACTTCCCTCCCATCAGCGCATACACCGGCGCACACCAACACACACCAGCGCAACCGACATGGCGCCAATGAGAGGACGAGGCGGCGCTCGTGGAGGAGCAAGGGGCGGCAGTAGAGGCGGCAGAGGCGGCGGAATGGGAAGGGGCAGAGGCGGCATGCGAGGTCGTGGAAGAGGTGGAAGCCGAGGCGGATTCGCCACAGCGAGAACACGAGACGAGGTCGAAGATTCGTGAGTACGGATATTGGTCGCGGATACATTAGTCCAGATCTAACAGTACCAGAAACATCCCCATGCGCGAACCCACCCCGTCCGACGAGAGCGAGTCCGACGTATCAGAAGACGATGTCTCGGACGAAGAGGAAGAAGAAGCGCAACCCATCTCAAACGCCTATGCGACTCTCCTGCAGTCTTTCTCGTCGCGCAATACTGGCTCGGAAGAGCATCGCAAGAAGAGGCGGAAGCTGGAGCACGACGAGCCTGAACAGGAGGTCGAATTAGACGACGACGCTGAATCTACCACCCTGGAAGGCGACGAGGCTGAGGACGAGCAGGCAGAGGTTGATGATGAAGAAGACGTGGACGATGACGACCAAGAAGAGCAGGAGCTCGAGCAGGCTTATCAGAAGCACTTTGCGAACCCCGATGAGAACGAACTAGCCACGCGACTCAAGCGGATAGCAGCCAACCAGTGGACATCACAGAAGCTGGATCGAGCATCCGGGAAGGGCGTCGGCATACTCCAGGTCCCCAGCGACGAGGTCAAGCCGAACCGGAAGCTAAGAAGTGTGCGCGACGTCCAGTTGAAAGCGCGACTTGTTGAAAACGCACAGAAAAAGGTCGGCGCTTTCGATAAGCTAGAACAAGCCATCGCACCCTCCATATTCGGCTACCAAGATCTACTCTTCGGCGCGAGAACATTAGCAAACGCCAGCCGTCTCCGCGACATAACCTGTCTCCACGCCCTAAACCACATCCTCACAACCCGCGACCGCGTCCTCAAGAACAACGCCAAGCTAGCCACCTCAAAAGACTCCGACCCCGACATCGAATACCGCGACCAAGGTTTCACGCGCCCCAAAATCCTCTTTTTGCTCGAAACAAAACAAGCCTGCGTCCGCGTCCTCGACTCCCTAACCTCCCTCCACGCCTTCGAGCAACAAGAAAACAAAAAACGCTTCCTAGACTCCTTCTCCGCTCCTGAAGACAAATTCTCACCCGACCGCCCCGACGACTTCCGCGAGTTATTCGAGGGAAACGACGAAAACGAATTCCGCATCGGCGTAAAACTCACACGGAAGACACTGAAATTCTACTCCACATTCTACAACTCCGACATCATCTTCGCATCCACCCTCGGTCTGCGGCGCGCCATCGAGACCGGGGACCCCAAAAAACGCGACTCCGACTTCCTCTCCTCCATCGAAATGGTGATTATGGAACAAGCCGACGCAGCCCTGATGCAAAACTGGGAGCATGCAGAATACGTTTTCGAGCACTTGAATCTCCAGCCGAAAGATGCGCATGGCTGCGACTTTTCGCGCGTGCGGAGTTGGTATCTAGATGGGCATGCGCCTTACATCCGTCAAACAATCATTCTATCCGCATTCCTAACACCAAAGATAAACACCCTGTTCAACAAACACATGCGCAACTACGCCGGTCGCTTAAAATACACACCCGATCACACGGCCGGACTTATCGAGTCACTCTCCTGGGGTATAAAACAGACGTTCACGCGGTTCGACTCTCCATCTCACCTCACAGACCCTGATGCACGGTTTAAATTCTTCACGAACTCGGTCTTGCCGGGTATTAGCCGGTTACCTAAATCCCCAGATGGCGGATTGGGCGTGCTGGTCTTCATACCATCTTACCTGGATTTCGTCCGCGTCCGAAACTCACTTGTGGATTCTGATATCGCATACGCTTCTATTAGCGAGTACACCGATGCAACTGACGTCCGCAAGGCGCGGTCGCACTTTATGAATGGGAAACACAGCTTATTGCTGTATACTGGCCGCGCCCACCACTTCCATCGCTACAATATTAGGGGTGTGAAAAGAGTGGTGTTCTACGGGGTTCCTGAGAACCCGGTGTTTTATGATGAGGTTGTGGGGTTTGTAGGCAAGTCGATTGAGCGCGCAGAGATCAGTCGCGCGGAAGCGAGTGTCAAGGTGTGTTTTTCGCGGTGGGAGAGGATGGAGTTGGAGAGGATTGTGGGCGGGAAGAGGGTGGGGAGGATGGTGGGGGATAAGGGTGACGTTTTTGATTTTGTGTAGGTGGGTGGAGGTGGTGGATTTGAGGATGTATGTATGCTTTGATCTTCGTATTGGAGATGCAGGTATGTCTGGAGAGCTTTTGACATGTAGTACAACTTTCTTGTCTTGGGTCTTTTCGAAGGCCATCTCATACTAACTAAACTTCTCTTCG